TTCCCTATTTCTGACATGTACCGTGGTATTACTGTGGTGTTTTGGGCATTTACCATGGTACTACTATCTCAGACATGTACCATGGAGTTTTGAACATGTATATTGGTATTACCATGGAATTTTTATGTGTACCACGGTATTATGGAAGTAATTTGGACATATGCCATGTATACTATGGTATTTTGGACATATATAATGGTATTACTGGGGTATTTTGAAGGTATGCCATGGTATAATTGTGGCATTTTGGAAGTATACCATGCATAGGTATTACAGTGGTATTTTGAGCATTTACCATGGTACTACTGTAGTATTTTTAACATGTACAATGGTATTACCGTGTTTTTGTTTGTTTGTTTGTTTATTTGCTTGTATTTTTTTGTGTGCCATTGTATTACGTTTTAATTTTGGACATATTCCAAGTATAGCATGGTATTACCGTGGTAGTTTGGGCATTTACCATAATGGTATTAACATGGTATTTTTGTGTACCATGGTATTGCAGTGTTATTTTTGGCTTACACCAAAATGTGGTAGTTTGGACATTTACCATGGTATTTTTCATGTGTACCATGGTATTACTATGATAGTTTAGACATTTACCAAGGTTATTTTAGATGTATTACCTTTTGTACACACATGCCTTGATATTACCATGGTATTTTTGATGTGTACCATAGTATTACTGTGGTGTTTTGGACATTTATATAGTATTACGGTAGTATTTTAGATGTGTACCATAGTATTACTGTGGTGTTTTGGACATTTATATAGTATTACGGTAGTATTTTAGATGTGTACCATAGTATTACTGTGGTGTTTTGGACATTTATATAGTATTACGGTAGTATTTTGGACGTGTAACATGGTATTACTGTGGTATTGGATGTGTATTTTGGTAGCACCATGGTGTTTTTGCACATGGACCTTGAAGTATCATGTAAATAAATACCATGACACGTGAATTTCATGGTAGCACCACAGTATGTTTTTGCAAGGTTTAGCACAGTAAATATGACAGTATTACCATCGGGCGTGATGGGTTTTGTCGTGAGGTGTTATTTATTCCTCCAGCTTTGACTCTGGGTGTTTGTGTGATTTCTCCAGCGCTGTATCTGCTGACACTGGAGCGTATCTGCGGAGCTTCATCTCATCTCACATTTAAAGAGGTGAATGTGTAATTCTTGCCGGAGGAGAATTCTCCTGAGGACCCGACAACAGTCTCTCTTCACACAATAGCCGCTCGCCCCACTGTTTACAACACACAATTTAGTTTCCTTCCAACAATTATGAGGGAAACTGAATCTCAGGAAATGTTCATTTTCACATCCATTAGAGCGGACAATAACAAGGGAGGCCCCGGAGCCTACAAAGACATCTGTCTTCAAAGGGCTGCAGAACTATATGGAAGATTAATATCCAGCCGCCGCAGCGCGACCGTGTGTCCGAGCAAATCACATCGCAGAACGTTTACTGTGAGATCTGGATGCCAAAAGACGAATATCTCAGCTGTGTCTTCAACCAAACATGAGGACAATTCTTCAGTCACATTGTTCTCCTCGGAAAAAGAGCACAGCAACTGTGCAATTGTGCTCAAAAGCGGCACTTTTGGAGAAATCCGATGCTTACAGTACATGAAACGTAAACTAAATTAACCCTGTAAAGCCTGACATCTGAAATAATAGTATTTTGGACATGTACCATGTATAGTGTGGTATTCCCATGGTATTTCTGACCTGTACCATGGTATTACTGTGGTATTTTGGGCATTTACCATGGCACTACAACTTTGGACATGTACATTGGTATTACCATGGACCTTTTGTGTGTACCATAGTATTAGGGGGTGATTTGGATGTATACCATGCATACCGTGGTATTACTGTCATATTTTGGACATATACCATGTAAAGCGTGGTATTCCCATAGTATTTCTGACATGAGTTATTTTGGGCACTTACCATGGTACTACCATAGTATTTTGAACATTGCCATGCTATGTTGTACTTATACCATGAATACCATTGTATTACCATGGTAATTTGGACATTTACCATGGTATTTTGATGTGTACCATGGTATTACTGTGGTATTTTATACTAGAAATTTAAATTTTTTTAGACAAACTTTACACAGAGTTTAAAAGAAAATATATTTAAAAAGATGGGCATTTACCATGGCACTACAACTTTGGACATGTACATTGGTATTACCATGGACCTTTTGTGTGTACCATAGTATTAGGGGGTGATTTGGATGTATACCATGCATACCGTGGTATTACTGTCATATTTTGGACATATACCATGTAAAGCGTGGTATTCCCATAGTATTTCTGACATGAGTTATTTTGGGCACTTACCATGGTACTACCATAGTATTTTGAACATTGCCATGCTATGTTGTACTTATACCATGAATACCATTGTATTACCATGGTAATTTGGACATTTACCATGGTATTTTGATGTGTACCATGGTATTACTGTGGTATTTTATACTAGAAATTTAAATTTTTTTTAGACAAACTTTACACAGAGTTTAAAAGAAAATATATTTAAAAAGATTGTATATGTTTTTGTTTAAAATCATATTCGATACGTCAGACTTGTATGGCTAATATAGTGCGATATAGCGAGAATATCGAGGCAAAAACAGCTATTTTATTCAGAGGCCCGAATTGAGTAAAAATCTGCAATTTGGTGCAGATGCTGATATTTATATGGACAACAAGACTGAAATTCAGATCACTTGTAATGTAAATGAATCTTTATAACAGTAAAAATGCATATAAATATCAGTCGCCGCTATATATCTGCAATAATATGGCTTAGTAAGTTGAGATTGAAATGATCCAAACATATAATGCAGTGATTGAGAGCTGAAGAAATAAAGGCTCCTCAGAAGATGTGAGATGTTCTGGAGGCTTGTGAAGATCATTCCTCCGCTGAGGAACAGTGAAAGTAAAGCTTCTGGAAGCAAACGCTCCTCAAAAGATCCTGAGGATCAGATTTGAGACTCTAAAACATGATTGATGGAGAACCAAGCAAAGCTGAGCTGCTTCAGTCCAGTAAGTGTTCATCTGGAGATATTACTGCAGTTATTCTGACGATTATTTGATCAAAATCAGTCAAGATTTGAGAGCAGAAAGACACGTGAAGCTGAAGCTGGACGCTTGTACAATTACACTAAAAGGGCTTTTACTGATAAAAAAAAAGCTCAGACAGAAGGCACGCAGCAGATTGAGTGCGACAGGTTCATCAGCATCATGTTGATCATTTAGAGCATCATATAGTCTTGTTAATGTTCTTCAGAGTGAGTGTAGTCTCTTTCTTAAAACATCGTTTAGCGTTTTAGCCTCGTGGAGACACTCAGACGGGTGATATATTTGGGAGAACTTTGTGATTTGAGTAATGTACGGTGGCAAGGTCCCACAATCCTTGTCTCTCTCTCCTTCTCCACGGCCGCGTATTTGCTAAAAGTATTTGTTTGCAAGATAAATGGCTGTTCTCCAGGCGAAGATGACAGGCAACACTAAGATGATATTGAATTGATTTCTGAAATGTTGCAGAACTGACTGTTTGATGTATACGGGCAGACATGAATCATAAAAATTCTATTAAAAAAGCTCTTGAATGGTTGACAGCGGAATATTATTTCTGATGATTAATTTGACTCAGTCATTATGGACGGGGCTCCAGTCAGATCGCCTCCTACAAAATTGCTTTTCATTCCCTCTTGAATACCCCGGCAATCTCTCTCTCTCTCCCTCTCTCTCTCTTTTCCCTTTTCCTGAATTTAACGTCAGACGCTTCTTCCGTCAGGTCCAAAGTTAGATCGACGCAGCTGATGAGAGGCACGAGCGCAGGGAAAACACCAGAGCCAATCGCAAACTTTAGCGCTATGAAAACATGGTCTGCGCTTCCAAAAGTTGATCGTGATAATGCCTTATTTCCAGCAACTTTCTGTGATTCCAGAGCCAGATCGGAAGCTGCCAACTGATACACATCCAAAAAAAGTGATTCTTACTTGTTTAACTGCATAATATTTATATAGTTGTGTTTATGCCTCTCTTCACAAAGTAATTAGGCAATCATCACATCTACTATCGCTCATACGTACAGAAGGGTTTGGGATAGATCAGACTTAAAGTTTTAAAATGGTTTTTGATTCAAAATGTTATTTTTTTATTTATTTTATTTTATATTTTATTTCATTTAAATAATTGTATTTTATTTATTATATTTGAACATGTTCTTTTACCTTAATTTACCTAAACATAAGTATTATAAGTTGCATGTTAATTTAATTTATTTTATTTTATTTATTGTATTTAAATATAAGTATTAATTTAATTTAAAACAAATTTTTTAACATACATTTTATTTTTATTGTATTTGAACAAAATGTATTTTATTTTATTTCAACATGAGCTTATTTATTTTATTTATTGTATTTTAAATATGAGTATTATTTATTTATTTTCAACATACATTGTATTTTTATTTGATTTTAATTTATTTATCGTATTTAAATGTTACTATTTTTATTTTATTTATTGCATTTAATAATATTTTATTATTTTATTTCAGTGTAAGTTGTATTTTTATTTTATTTATTTAGTGTAATTAAATGTTTATTTTATTTTATTTTATTTTATTTTATTTTATTTTATTTTATTTTATTTTATTTTATTTTATTTTATTTTATTTTATTTTATTTTATTTTATTTTATTTTATTTTATTTTATTTTATTTTATTTTATTTTATTTTATTTTA